CCCGTTTCCGGTTGGTAAAAAAAAAAAAAAAAAAAAAAAAAAAAAAAAGAAGACAGCGTAAGCAAGGAGCAGTGGAAGGAAGAGAGGCCTCTTGTCTGAAAGGGGGTTCCACCCTGTAGGCAAAAGCCCACGAGGATGATGAGCAGAGGGGTAAGGACTTTATTTCCCTCTGATGGGAACTGAGAATGGTTTCAAGAGGTAGTTACGACCACCCTCCTTTCTTAGAGGATGTAGTTAACTGTTAGGTTAAGCAGTCTTTACTTACAAACACATTTGAGTACCTACTATTTATATGTCAGGCACTGTCCTCGGCTCCCAGGACAGGCTAGTGAACAAGACAAAGCCCTCCCTGAGTTTCTAGTCATAACACAGCCAATCCTTTCTCCCTGATTTCCTCTCAGCACACCTTAGCAGAGCCTTATTTTGGGTGTTTGTAAAACTCTTGAGCTACCTTGGTGTAGAGAGTTAATCCCATTGTGTGCACTTTTTAAATTTAATCCTAAAAAAGGTAAGTTTAGTGTTCTTAGGAGGGGGTACTATAATATTGTCCTCATGAGCAAACTACAGATGTGCAAGAGGCAGAAAGATCAAATAAAAAACTATTTTATCCCAGAGCAGAAATGAGAGATCTTGCCAAAATCAGCCACTCCTTAATAGGTATTCAAACCTACGGTCAGCTCTGAGAACAATAAAGGCTTGAGTGCTCTGCTTTTGAGATCCTGTCCTGATTCCTGAGGATTCACTACAAGTCCCGGGAAAGTAAGGTATTCAGTATCCCCACCCCCAGCAATCTTCACTGGTGGAGCCTCCTTACCTGGCTAGGGGTGAGGCCAGCAATTTCAGGTGTCCCCGCCCCTGGGGCATAGGCGGGATCCAGGGCGTCAATATCAAAGCTGATATAGATGGGTCTATCTCCCACCTGCTGCCTCACTTCCCCCATCAGAGGAACCAGCGACTTCATCCAGCAGTCTTCCGCCAGGACGACCCGGAAGCCCTGGGAGGGACGCATTGAAGAGCTGGAGGCCCAGGCTTCTGCACAGCAGCATGTGCTGGGCATTTTCCATGTGCCAAGCCCATCCTAAGCTCTTGATGTGTACACCACATTCGACCCTCCATCTCCATGAGGAGAGAACTGCTGTCCCCACTTTAGAGGTGAGGAATGGGGAGATGATGGTTGGTAAGGCTGGAGGGTCAAAGCTGACCTGTGGAGCTGGGATCAGAGAGAAACTTTGCTAAAGCAAGAACTAAGAAACCCGGCGGCTCGTGCTAGCACCTCCCAAACAGCTCTGTCTGGAAGACCGGTCTTGGCATGCTCTCAGAGCAAGGGATTTGGGTCCTTCCTACTGCGTCTTGTCATATGTGTTGACCTGAGAGCCATTCTGCCTAGTGGGTATGAGAATGAGGACTAAAGGTGGCAAATGGCCTTGGCAACTCCTCCTCTATTTTCCAAGCCAGCAACATCCGAGGGGTGGGTTGGTATCTGCTCATCTCTCCACCACAGGGATGAGAGGCCTCCACCACCTCATAACCTAACGTCCTCACTCCTCTTTGTTCCACATGTCCCTCTTGGTGCAAAGTCAACCTTCCGTCCCCACTTTATGAACTTGATTAGTAAAGCCCCTGTTGAATCATAGTCGCCATTGGGTGGGCAATGGAAAGGAAGGCATTTTGGGGGCCAAGAGGAGGGGGAGAGGAGTTTAGTCTGTCACCTGACTCCGGTTGTATCTGTAGGGATCCAAGGTCATGGAAGAGCCCCGGATGCCGATCTGCACCACCCGCTTACAGTCCAGGAGTCCCTCATCCACGCACTGGCGGAAGGGCGTCCCATGATGGAGCTTCTCTCCTAGAGCCTTGTCAGCCATGTCCATGTGAGCATCCACATGCAGCAGCCCCACGGGGCCGTGCCTGATGATGACAGGGAAGCTCAGAGGCCAAGCCTCCCTGGGGGGCCCTAGTACAGCCACCCTTAGGCCACCAAAACTTGATGACAATTCATAACCACAGAGGGGAGCCCTGGCATCAATTACACCTGCAACTGGTTTCTGTCTTCACATCACTCAGCATCTCCGAGGAACAATAAACTCAGAGAAGTCAGGCAGAAACAGACAAGGGCTTTGGCTGCCACCCACGACTCATCACCCAGAATTTGCTTTACTTAGAAAGCAGGCAGGATGGGAATGAAGGGTGGCAGCTCTGAGGTGAGCTCGGTTGAAGGTGAACTAATCTGAGCCACCCTCTCTCCAACTGCAGCACCAAGAGGCAGCCTCGGCCCAGCTGTCTCTGTAACCTCCAGCCACCCCTGCCAGCCACCCAAAATAAACATACAATCCAAACCATTGGGAGGCAAATGCAGCTTCCAGAAAAGACCTGTGCCTACCCACCTCCAACCAGAATGCTTCCCACATGCCGTTCCCAAAAACGAATTCTAGAGCTGCCACCCAGCACCCCAGCCCTTGTGTCTCTTTCTCAAACTACAGTTGGCTAGTCCCTGGTAGAATTCCACTACTGGGAAATCAGTCTTCTCAATGGGAAAGGGGCCCTTTCAGGAGAAAACAGGGCCTCTCGACAAGCTGCACCATTGTGCCTGTCAGTATTTGTATTTGGCCATTGAAGAAAACAGAAACTGAAGTAAACTGGGGTTGTGTATTTCACCAGGGGTTCATCTTCCAAAAACAGAGCCAAGTTAAAAATGCTAAGCACACATACCAGGACAGATTTAGGGCAAGGGAGGGCAGCCTGAGGTGTTCCTAATAAATTGTCTTGGCTTCCAGCTGGTGACTGACAGAGACACCTGGAGCTCATCCTTAATTCTGATCCACAGAAACAACTCAGTCAAGAATTTCCTATCACCACCCCCCATCCCCCATAGCCTGAGCCAGCAGCAGTCACCCGATGACACCTAGCAGCAAACACCTTATTCCCTAGCTCCTGAATTTTGAAACCTTGCTTGGGTCAAGCCATTCGGGACTGACTGACTCACTTTTTTGCTATTGCTTGCAATATGGGATATGTGATTGTGTGATCTCCACCTGTGAAGAGAAAACACGTGTACAATAAGATTATTATATAGTAAGATTATCTATATAACATTATGACATAGAACAGTCTTAAATTTACCCAGTTCTGCCACCCTTTCAATTCGACTGAAGAACTATAACCACAGGTAAAATGAGGTCTTGTGCATTAGTGGGCTGCTTAAGAGTTCATCGTTCTTTAGGGCTGGCTGGTTAGCTCAGTTGGTTAGAGCACAGCCTTGTAACACCAAGGTCATGGGTTCAGATCCCTGTACTGACCAGCTGCCACAAAAGTTAAAAAAAGAAATGGTGTAAATTAAGGCTTACAGGTAAATGCCTAGAACAGATTTGTCCGAAGAACTTTCTCTGATGATGGAAACGTTCAACCTTATTTTTAATTAATTTAAGTAGCCACATATGGCTAGTGGCTACCATGTTCAACAGCACAGACCTAGGAAAGTATTACTATTGATAATTATTAATAATAACTGGACTGGCCAGTTAGCTCTGTTGGAACTAATAACACCAAGATCCAGGGTTCAGATCCCCATATTGGCCAGCGCCCCCCAAAAGAAATAGTAACAATAGCTAACATTTATTGAAGCTTAAAATATACCAGGCACAATGTTGGGCACTTTATATGCCCCTCACACAATACAGCGAGGTAGGTGCTATTATTATTCCCATTTTATAGAGGAGGAAATGGAGCATCGAGCGGAGCACACAATCACGTAGCTAGTGAGGGGTGGAGCTGAGATTTCAAACCAGCCGTCCAGAAACCACACTGCTTGTCACTGTGCTGCGCAGGCTGGGCCCTCTGATTGGCAAAAATAAATTCGGATATTTAGAAAAAGGCCCCTGGGCCGGCCCGGTGGCGCACTGGATAGTGCGCCGCTTGGGAAGCGCGGCGGCACTCCCGCCAAGGGTTCGGATCCCACATACAGACCGGTTCCCGCTCACTGGCTGAGCGAGGAGCAGACGCAGCACCGAGGGTTGCGATCCCGTTGCCGGTCCCGGTCCGGTACAGGGGGCAACACTGAGGGTTGCAATCCGTTGCCGGACACGGAAAAAGACAAAAGACAAAAAAAAGAAAAAAAAAGAAAAAGGCCCCTGTCATTTTAGCTAATTGTGACCCAGAGAAGAAAGAAATACTACAGCTGGAGTGGCATAGGGTGGGGCAGGATAAGGGAAAAGCTGCCTTTCCCTGAATATGGGTATTCCAAAAATTTTTTAGAAAAATTGAAAATAGAGATTATGCGAATCCTTCCATGAACTTTTTGAAGACCCCTGCAAAAGGGACTTGAACATCTCCAGATTTTGGTATCCACAGTGGTCCTAGAACCAATCTCCGTAGGTACCGAGGAACAACTGTACTTACCTGGTGTTACTGATGTTGATTGTTAGCTTTTTTGGACACCCCTTTTGAGACAAGGCAAGCACCTCATTCGCTTCACCTAGTCCAGCCCTGTCAATCATGCTAGTTCAAAAGAAATTTTTTTTGGCAGCTGGCTGGTATGGATCTGAACCCTTGACCTCGGTGTTAATAATACCGTGTTCTAACCAACTGAGCTGACCAGCCAGCCTAGACCAAAATTTTAAATATCCACTCCCCAGGGATTAAAATAAATGAATTAGAATGTCCTCTCTCCTACTGTCTCCATATTTGCAGTGGCTTGCCCTGGATAAGTAACTGTACTCAGGCCCATGATAAATAGGCACCAAGTGCAGAGAACTACAGCTCTTGCAGACTGCCACTACCCAAGGTCAGAGGAATACAGCCAGCTGCTACAATTTTCTCATAGGCCTCTCGAATTAGCCGGCAGCTGTCCTGGAGATTATTCAGATTGACGTTCACATCGCCTAAGTCTGCGACCATGAGGGACTGGAAAGGGAGGGCCCCCGTGCTAGGATTGACTGTCCGCAGCATCACTGATTCTTCCCGGATGCGTCGGGGTCCGAATCTGGAGAAGAAAGAACCATCCTGTCAGCCATCCACAGAGGTATAGAGGCTCTGCCTACCCCAGGGCTTCTCAGCCTCAGCACTGTTGACATTTGGGGCCAGATGATTCTCTGTCGTAAGATTGCACAGTAGGACGTTAGTAGCATCACTAGCCTGTACGCACTAGAGGCCAGTAACACCCTCTCCCCCAAGCTGTGACAATCAAAAATGCCTCCAGACGTTGCCAAGTGTCCCCTGGGTATTGAACCACCCCCGCTGAGAACCACCGATCTAGGCTATATATTGGAGAGATTAAAGGCACAGATTTAGGACCTTACTCATCACCAGTTTAGCAAATGGCATTAGAAAATATTTTAATCTCTCTGAGTTCAGTTTCCTAATCTGTAAAATAATAATCATGACACTTACCTTATACTGTTGTAAGAATTAAATGAGGTAACCTATGCAGAGTGCCTTGCATTTAGTAGACATTTAATAAATGGTGCCTTTTATAATTCAGACCAGCACAGTCAGATGTAATGTTGCTGAGCTGAATCAGAAATTGCTGACACTCGGGCCGGCCCGGTGGCGCACTGGATAGTGCGCCGCTTAGGAAGCCTGGCGGCGCTCCCACCCGAGGGTTCGGATCCCACATACAGACCGGTTCCCGCTCACTGGCTGAGCGAGGCGCGGGAGCAGCGCCGAGGGTTGCAATCCCGTTGCCGGTCCCCGGTCCGGGGGCAACACTGAGGGTTGCGTATCCGTTGCCGGACACGGAAAAAGACAAAAAGACAAAAAAAAAAAAAAAGAAATTGCTGACACTCAATAATCAGGAAAATGGATTTTACTTCCTCTGGCTTGAGCTTACGAAATTTGCCTTAATTTGAGCATTATTTTTAGTCAGGTGACATCTAGAGGTTTTGGAAGGGCAGCCAGTTTCTGTGTTCGAGTACAGTGTCACCTGCCACTGCATGGTGCGGGGGAAGGGAGGGTGAAGGTACCCACAGCCGCCACCCCAGCAAGTCTCCAGGATGGGGGCCTGGAGAAGGCTCCTGTTCCAAAACCCCTCCTTGACCAATGGATGACACGAAGATGTGAGGCCCCAATCTTGTGTTGAGCCCTAGGCATTGCTTGTAGAGTGACAAGGGACATCAATGGTCTCAAATCATAAGGGGCATTTGGAGCCAAGCACCAGCTTCCAATTCGACCCAGTGTGATCGGAGGCGCCTGCCCTGGCACCTTCCACGTCCTCCGGCAGCTACCAGTCTGCCCGGCCACGTGTCCCCCTGGCCCTGGTCCTTCGGGCCTTACCTCGCCCCGGGCCGGTTGGAGGTCCCAATGTCCAGGGGCACCCCGACGAAGGCGGCGTCCAGCCCCTCGGGGGAGGCCAGCACGGGCAGCCGCATCATGGAGCAGACGCCCGTCGTCCGGGCCACGAGGTCGGAGCTAGGGGGCCGGGTCCGAGGGGCGTCGGAGGCCTGGCGGCGCGTGCGCCCGGGGTGGCAGAGCCCCGTGGCAGGAAGCGCGCCCACGCCGGCCCCCAGTCCCCGGACGCCTCCGGACGCCAGCAGCCGCCGCATGCCGCCCGCGACCGCCTGTCCGATCGGCTCCTCGAGCTCGGGAGGCCGCCGCGACCCGGTTGGTCCCCGGAGTGGGCGAGTGTGCAAGCGCGGGCGCCGCCCTGGGCTCAAAGGGCGGGGGCGCCCTGGGAACCAAAGGCGGGGGAGGGGCCCCAGGCACAGGCCGCTGTGTCCCCACAGCTCTCTCTGGACTTCAGCCTCTGCGTCCCTTGGCAAACAGAGCCAGGCAAGGGGCTCCCTACGCTTTCCCATCTGCATTGCCCCGGGTGTGTCTGCGCCCTGCGCCCCCCAACTCCAGGCCTTTGGCAGCCTCTTCTCCCATGCAGAGTAATATTTCTAAAGCCTGAAAGATTTGAAGGGGAAAGATCTTTCTCTAAGTGATAGAAATGGGAGATGAATTTTTTAAAAAATAATAATGTATTAAGAAATGTCTGGACTGGCACTCTTAAGAAGCAGAAGGGTCTTTTGAGATAACTTTTTTTTTTTTTTTTGATCGGTAAGGAGATCGCAACCCTCTGCACGGTGTTGTCTACACCACGCTCAGCCAGTGAGTGCACCACCCATCCGAACCGGCAGCCTCCGCAGCGCCCGCACTCTCCCCAGTGAGCCACGGGGCCGGCCCTGAAGGAACCTTTTTAAAGTAGAACTTAAAGGCAAACTAACCTGCCAGCCTCTATTTCTAAGGGGAAAAGAAGACGTGATGGAGAAAGAAAGAAGTGATTTATGGAATTATGGAAGTAAGTTGTGGAATCACATGAGCCATTTGGTGGTGGCTGTGTGTGTGTGTGTGTGTGTGTGTGTGTGTGTGTTTTGTGTTTTAATCTCTAGAAGTTGAGATTGAATGGAAAAGGCCCAAATTCGCATTAAATCATAACCTCTGTAGGAAGGTCACACATTTAACCCCACACCACCCAGCCTCCACTCTGCAGGACCCCAGCCAAAGTTTCTTAATGATCAATAACGAGTGTTCAGTGTCGGAAGAGGCCTCAAAGCAGGTCCTGGCCATTTTCTGGAACAAATTCAACAATCTCTCAGTTATTCTCTTAACGACCAGATTCTACCACTATTTCTTTCATATCACTTGTCCAGAATGTATCATTTTCTTACTCTTTTTTTTTTCTTTTTCTCATTCATCTCACAAATATTTATTGAGTGCCTTGTATGAAGAAGTTGAGTTCCAGGGGCCCAAAGAGGATGGGCAGTAACTCAAGATGTAGCTTGTCAGGGGTGAGGGGCAAAAAGACTGGGTGGGGGTTTCTGGCCAGAGCAACCCCAGGCGCTAATCCAAGTCTGTCTTCACATAGTTATCAGATATTTCTGTCCATTTCTGGCTGGTAAACCATTTTGTCAGTGTCCAAGCTAAACTGTAGGGTGATTGTTTTAACAGTGCTTATGGGCAGAGTGATACTACAAATATTTAACATCTGAGATGGCACAGACATTGGCCAATCAGAACAGATGCCAGCTGGCCATGAACAGCGAATATTGGTATATTCCAAGTGGACATCAACTTTGAAGGAATGTGTCTTCATATCAGAGCTCCATCATCCATTTTGAAATGAATTTGATTAGATTCAAAATCCAATAATGTTATCACAAGAAATTTCAATGTGTATTTTTGTTTGTTTTTTTCATGGCTGGACAGTGCAGAGATCGGAACCTGTGACCTCGGTTTTGTAAGGCTGCACTCTGATCAACTGAGCTAACTGGCCAGCCCCTGTATTTGTTAATGAAAGAAAAACAAGACTTAATTTCAACTTTTGTAAAATTTTGGATGTTTACATTTCTTTTGGGCCAGCCCATGGCTCACATGGCAGAGCGTGGTGCTAACACCACCAAGTCAAGGGTTAAGATCCCCTTACTGGTCATCTTTTAAAAAAAAAGAAAATTTTGGGCCAGCCCGTGGCTCACTCGGTAGAGTGCGGTGCTGATAACACCAAGGCCGCGGGTTCGGATCCTATATAGGGATGGCCGGTTTGCTCACTGGCTGAGCGTGGTGCTGACAACACCAAGCAGAGTCTGTCTGTCTCTCTCTAGTCTAAAATGAGCCCCCTAGAGCAGGAGAAAGGGGAGGGGAGAGCATGAATTTATCTAAAGGGAAAACCTGCCCAGGGAAGTTGAGATCCCCTTACCAGTCATCTTTTAAAAAAAAAAAAAAAGAAAATTTCTTTTGAAATTTTTACTACTAATTGAGTAATTGTTCATGACTATCAAGAACTCGAAGAGATCATTTTTTAAAAGTCCTAGTCTTTATTGCATGTAGCCATTTCAAGCATAAAATCTGATATTAAACAGTTAAATTCACAGAAGAAAGCTAAAATTTTGAAAATATTATATTTGGAAATTTTATATTAGCTGAATATTTAATGCTTTCCCTAATATTTTGATTTTATTTTCCAAATCATAATTATACAATATGTAGAAAATATAATTTTTTCACCAAATCCCATAGAGATGCCCCCAAATCCCTCCCCCCCACCACCCGTTTACTTTAGTGGGACATACAATTGTATCATTTTCTATGTGTGCCAAGACAGGAAAGAGGTTGGAAAGCACTGTTCTGGTAAACTACAAGTTCCAATATTTGCTTCATCCTTTTGGCTGGAGTCCAAGGGCAGTACCTTGTACAAAACAAGTAATAAATGTTTTGTGAGCAAGTGAATGATTGAACAGATCTCCTGGAACTGTGAAGAGCAGCTCTGGGGTAATGATTATTTCAGCCAAAAAACTGTGACAGCCAAAGCACGTGGGGAAAATGCCATGTGCGTTTTAGCTGTCTGCATGGATTCCCTTTAGCCTAGTGAATGATGCAGGGGTTCTGCACAAGGAGCCAACACTTTGAACTTGTCTGTGCTTGTGGAAGCTCAGAAATGACCCTACAGCAATTCCATCCTCCCCAAGATGCCTAGCTGGGGGTTTCTGTGACACCCCTCTCACCTTATTACATCAACACTTATCCTTACCTTCTTTGTCCCCTAACCCTAAATAAAAATACAGATATTGTTGAACATGTTCACAATACTTTCATCTGTTAAAGGAAAAAATTAGTGAATGATACTTGTTAAAGCATGGTAAGGAAGACTTTATTCAGAACCATTGAGATAACCACAGCGACCACGGCAATGGCAACTTGTAGTGGGGTGGGGAGAGATTGGGCTCAACTCAATACAGCATGGCAGGTGGGAATTTATAGCCAAGGAGCAAGGTGGCGGGGTCAGTAGATGGAAAATTACCAAGACGAAACATCAGGGGTAAGGGGATTCTGGCTAAACCCACTTAGCAAGATCCTTGCTGAAGACAAGCCACGATGATCAGACATCACCAGAGGTTATGGGGGAGGATAAGACCCAAATCAGATATTAAGAATAATTAGATATCGAGGGTGGGGGGTTTCTTTGCTAAAACTGGATTTTATAAGGAAGTACACGGATGGGCCTAGCAGAAGGTTCAGAAGCCTTGCTGAAACAAAGCTTGGCTTTGTCACATTGAAGCTTGTCAAAATCCCCACTCACCCATTTCTATTTACTTTGCCTATAAAGTTTCACATTCAACATTGTCTCATGGAATATTTCACGTATTCACATGGAGTAACTTCCAACAATAGCATCATTTTTTAATATAGAGAATAGTGATATGTACCATTTGAACACAAGACTGCTCTGTTCAGCTTGTCAAATGGACATCTGGAACCTGATTAATCTGACCACTTTTATCCAGACACCAACCAATTGACCCCCTCTGTCTCTCTCTAGTCTAAAATGAGCCCCCTAGAGCAGGAGAAAGGGAGGGGAGAGCATGAATTTATCTAAAGGGAAAACCTGCCCAGGGAAGTCGAAAAAATATCACTGTTATGCAGTTTCAGAGTCAAGCCAGGAGAGGGCACAGAAAACTTCTGCTTGATCATCTAACAATGAAAGGAAGGGTACAGTTCAGGAAATGGACAGAGCACTCCTCCAACCACTCAGTCAGGTGATATGGTTTATGTACCCTCTCAAACCACCCAGAAAAAAATTCAATCTAATTTCATCTTGAGACTTTAATGATTTTACTATACAACAGGCTATCTTAATGCAATTTCTACACCATTTAATTTTTTCTTGAAGAAAATATTCAGATTTTTTTTCAAGCCCCAGCCAGTTTCCTATGCATTTTTTTAAAATGGCATTCCTCTTTGCCCCTCTAAGTCAACTGCCTCTAAACAGCTCCTCTCGGGCCGGCCCGGTGGCACACTGCAGAGTGCGCTGCTTAGGAGCGCAGCGGCGCTCCCGCCGAGGGTTCGGATCCCATGTGGAGACTGGTTCCCGCTCACTGGCTGAGCGCAGTGCGGGCGCAACACTGAGGGTTGCAATCCCGTTGCCAGTCCCCAGTACGGGCGCGACACCGAGGGTTGCGAACCCATTACCGGTCAGTAAAAAAGACAAAAAGGAAAAAATAATAATAATAATAATAAACAGCTCCTCTCCTTCTGCAAAGTAGGTGGGGACTGTAACCTTTCCTGACTTCTCTGTGGTGATGTATAACATCAACCTGGTCCCTAGAGAGAAAGGCATTAGACAAAATGCAAGGGCTGATTATTACTTATAAACTATATATGCTGGGTAAATAGATCTGACTCAAGTTATTAGTAAGAATGAATACTCAATAATCGATGACTAAAGGGACTGTATCTTAAAACCAAGATTCTGAAGTGGCACAAAGCTCAAGGACATAAGGGAAAATGCTGTTTAGACAAATCCACCTATTAGCCAACAAGTGATACATCATTATAGATGTTTGGAGGGTAAGAATCACTGCTTGAAGTACAGATAGAAACCTCATACAGGGCCAGCCCGGTGGCGCACTGGAGAGTGCACCGCTTGGGAGTGTGGCGGCGCTCCCGCCGAGGGTTCGGATCCCATGGGGAGACCGGTTCCTGCTCACTGGCTGAGCGCAGTGCGGGCACAACACCGAGGGTTGCGATCCCGTTACCGGTCAGTAAAAAAGACAAAAAGGAAAAAAAAAAAAAAAAAAAAGAAACCTCATACAAATAAAGCATGTATGACAAAATGTTTCCTGTAGAAAAATAAAACCAGTGACACAATAAAGTATTTATTCTCTTTCATTATGACTTTCTTTTACATCCAAC